AGGCAGACAGCTCTTGCAACAACGTTCAGTTGATAAAAGTGAGTGAAGCCCCAGTATGTGAGACAGAGAGCCCTCTGTGACTCACCTTTCTACTGGGGAATCTGAGCAACCCAGTAGGCTGAGAGAGTACATTTTTATTGTCTCCCAAGCTCTAGAGCTGACTTGCAGACAGGCTTGGAGACTCTGTGAGGAAAACACACCAGGAAAACCTGCAGACATTTTTCCAGACCCAGGAGCAAGAGCAGGATACCATTTTAAATTCAGGTGCATACAAAATAAGCCATTCTCTGTGGTGATCCAGCAGCCTGGTCATACAGGCATTTTAGTCTTTGGCCAGAGAGAGGAGCACTTACTCTGGAGTGGGGTAAGGGCCTCCACAGCCAGACTGTGGAAAGCACCTCAGCAATAGGTGCTACAATTATACTCTCCTCCATTGCAGGCCTGGGGTGGGAGAAGAGTTGCTATAACTGCAGTTTCTCCTGATCAGAGACTTGCAGCTAGGGCCAGCTTGGCAACCTGGAACAGTGTGGCTGTCCCAGGCTGCTCTCCAGAGATAAAGGTGGAGCAGACCTCTCTCTACTCCATGCCTAGGCAGATCTCCAGGCATTCAGAGCACTGGCTCTCCTGGTTCAGCAGGCTGAGCTGCTCCACTCTTCCTAAACATGGATTGTGGTACAGTGAAGACGTCCTTACTCCATACCTAGACAGATTCTCTAGGCATTCTGAGTGCACATTAACCTGCATTAGCTGTCTAAACTGCCCCATACTTCCTTTGCATAGACTGTGGTGCAGGAAGGCCCTTTCTGCCCCATGCCCAGGCAGATCTCCAGGCATTCAAAACACCTGCTTGCCCAAACTGGTAGTCTGAGCCACCCCACACTTTTTGTGCAGAGATACTGATGTAGAAGGGACTGCTCCACAATACACCTAGAAGGATCTCCAGGCATTTGGAGCAGCTGCTTTCTGGATTAGGAGTTTAGGTCTTTCCCACTCCCATACAGAAAACTCAGGGTCAAGGAGGTTTCCCAGCTCTACCTCTTATCACACCTTTGGGTGCTTAACAGCCATCCACTGGATTTTCCCTCAGTGCTGGTGCTTGTGCCTGCCATTGAAGGACCTGTAGGTGGACATGCCCAGTCTGGCCATGCCCACCTGGCTCCTGCCCCCAGGGGCTAAGAAGAGAGCTCAGATCACAGTGCACTCCATGAATCAGCCAATTTCCTTAGGCAACAGAGAGCCCCTCCAAGACTACAACGATCAAGTATATGCCTAGTCACACTGGCCACAGACAGCTCTTACCCAAATGTTTTACCTACTGGCTTGTAGGTCAAACTGCACAGTCGGACATAGGGCTATAGAAGCCAAGCCAAAAAGCCTTGCTCAGCATTCTCTACAGTCACACCCCCCAGGGAGGGGTTGAAAGGGAAAGAAGAAACAAATAATCACATTGAAAAAAAGTGCTCCCCACATGAAAAATATTATAAGCACTAAAAGAGTCAGCATCTCAAGATGAGAAGGAATAAGTTCAAGAATTCTGGCATCATGAAAAAATCTGAATGTAGCGACACCATCAAAGGATCACATGGGCTTTCCAGCAATGGTCCCTAACCAAAATAAAAATTCAAATGACAGGTTAAAAATTCAAAGCAAGGACTGTAAGGAAGTTCAGTGAGATCCAAGACAAGTTGAAAATCAACATAAAGAAATTTTTCAAGCAACCTAGGAAATGGAGAAGGGATACACATCTTAAAAAGAAATCAATCAGAGCTTCTAGAATACAAAAATTCACTTAAAACATTTCGAAATACAGTTGAAACCTTTATCAATAGACTGGGCCAAGCAGACAAAATAATTTCAGATCTTCAGGCCAGTCTTTCAAAGTAAGCCAGTCAGATAAAAATAGAGAAATAATTTTAAAAAATAAACTTCTTTGAAAAATTCATTTAAAAATGAATTTATTTGAGAAATATGGGATTATGTAAAGTGACCAAACATGCAAATTACTGGCATTTTTGAGAGAGACTGAGAAAAAGAAAACAACCTGGAATACATACTTGAGATAATAATTCAAGAAAATTTCATTAATCTTGCTTAAGAGGTACACATCCAGTTATAACAAATCCAGAGAACGCCTGTGAGATACTATATGAAACAGACATAACCAAAGGATATAGTCACTAGACTATCAAAGATCAATAATAAAGAAAAAAACCTTTAAGGTACTTAGAAAAAGGTCAGATTACATAAAAAGGGAATCTTATTAGGCTGTAGACTTCTCAGATGAAACCTTATAAATCATTAGAGACTGAAGGCCTATTTTCAGTATTCTTAAAGAAAAGCCAACTAAGAATTTCACATTGTATCAAACTGAGCTTCATAAGTAAGGGAGAACAAATTTTTTTGAAGCAAGCAAGTGCTAAGGGAATTAGTTGGTGTCAGACCAACCTCATGAAAAATCCTTAAGGGAGTTCTAAACATGGAAATTAATGATAACTGCTGCCACAAAAATACATTTAAATACATAACTCATAGGCCTTATACAGCAATAGAAACCACAAAACAACCAGCTAAAAAGTTCATAATTGCATTGAGGTCTCACATGTCAATATTAACCTTGAATGTAAATGGCCTAAATGTCCCACATAAAAGGCACATAACGGTAATTTAAAAAATTTAAAAATTTAAAAATTAAAAAAAAAAAGACTCATCTCTCTACTGTCTTCAAGAGACCCATCACACATGTAATATACTGACACTCATAGCTCTAAGTAAAGGACTGAAGAAAAATCTATCGTGCAAAACTGAACACAAAGAAGAGAGCAGGGGTCACTATTCTTATATCAGATGAAAAAGACTTTCAGGGAGATGATCCAAGATGGCCGAATAGGAACAGCTCTGGAGTGCAGTTCCTAGTGAGAATGCAGAGGGTGAGTGGGTGATCACCGCATTTCCAAATGAATTTTTACTGCCCATAGATCAGGAGATTCTTGGGCAGAAAAGCACCACGAGTCTCTAGCATGGCTGTTTCAGCCTGCACAGTGGGTCTCCACACAAAAACTAACACAAATCTGGGTGCCGCTTCAACTGGCACCTTGAATGCCTGTGAGACAGAGTTGCCCATTCAACTGAAAGAAAGGGGCTGAAGCAGGGAGCCAGGTGATCTGGCTCGACTGGTCCCACCCCTGCAAAGACCAGCAATGTGAAATGCTCTGGATTGAGTTTCACAGAAAGTACACCTGGACCCAGGATGGTCCAACTCTGTGGGGGGAAGGGTGTCTGCCATTATGAAAGCAGTCCACCACTACTGAGGCAGTCCGCCATTACCGAGGCAGTCTGACATTACTGAGGCAGTTTGCCATTACTGAGGCAATCTGCCATTACAGAGGCAGTCTGCCGTTACAGAGACAGTCCGTCATTACTGAGGCAGTCTGCCATTACCAAGGCAGTCCTAACTATGCCTCTATAAACAAAACCGCAAGGAAGTTCACACCACAGCTGTGCAGAACCTATGACAGCTAAGCAACACCTCTGCTGGCAGACTGTGACAAGGCCACCTCCTTGCTGGGCAGGGTATCCCTGAAAAAAGGCAGCAGCATGTCAGGAACTTTTAAATAAAGCCCCACCTTCCCAGGACAGAGCACCTGGGAAAAAAAAAAAGGTGGTTATGAGTTCTGCTGCAGCAGACTTATACATACCTGCCCAGCAGTTCTGAACAGAACAATGGAGCTCACAGCTCAGTACTTGAGCTCCTATAAGGAACAGATTGTCTTTTCAAACAGTTCCCTGACCCCCATATATCCAAAGAGACACCTCATAAAGGAGAGCTCAGGCTATATCTGGCGGGTATCCTTCTGGGACAAAGATAGCAGAATAAGAAACTAGCAGCAATCCTTAGTGTTCTGCAGCCATCACAGGTGATCCCAAGGCAAGCAGGGTCTGGAGTGGACCTCCAGCATTCCTACAGCAGAGGGGCCTGACTGTTAGAAGGAAAACCAGAAAACAGAAAGAAATAACTTCATCATCAGCAAAAAGGACATCCACTCAGAGACCCCAATCTAAAGTCACCAACTAAAAAGACCACAGGTAGATAAATCCACAAAAATGGAAAGAAACCAGAGCAAAAAGGGTGAAAACACCAAAAGCCAGAACACCTCTCCTCGTCCAAGGGATCACAACTCACCAGCAAGGGAATGAGGCTGGATGGAAAATGAGTCTGAAGAATTGACAGAAACAGGCATCAGAAGATTGGTAATAAGAAACTTCTCTGAGCTAAAAGAACATGTTCTAACCCAATACAAAGGAATTAAGAACCTTGAAAAAAGGTTTGATGAAATGCTAACGAGAATAAAAAGCTTATAGAAGAATATAAATAAATTGATGGAGCTGAAAAACACAACAAGAGAACTTCGCAAAGCATACACAAGTTTCAATAGCTGAATCGACCAAGCAGAAGAAAGGGTATCCAAGATTGAACATCAACTCAATGAAATAAAGTGAGAAGGCAAGATTAGAGAAAAAACAATAAAAAGAAATGAACAAAGCTTCCAAGAAATATGAGGTTGTGCGAGAAGACCTAATCTATATTTGATAGGTGTACCAGAATGTGACGGAGACAATGAATCCAAGCTGGAAAACACTCTACAGGGTATTATCCAAGAGAACTTCCCCAACCTAACAAGGCAGGTCAACACTCAAGTACAGGAAATACAGAGAACACCACAAAGATATTCCTCAAGAAGAGCAACCCTGAGGCACATAATCATCAGATTCACCAGGATTGAAATGAAGGAAAAAATGCTAAGGGCAGCCAGAGAGAAAGGTCAGGTTACCCAGAAAGGGAAGCCCATGAGGTTCACAGTGGATCTCCCAACAGAAACCCTACAAGCCAGAAGAGAGTGGGGGCCAATATTTAACATCCTTAAAGAAAAGAACTTTCAACCTAGAATTTCATATCCAGCCAATCTAAGCTTCATAAGCGAAGGAAGCATAAAATCCTTTACAAAGAAGCAGTTGCTAAGAGATTTCGTCAACACCAGGTCTGCCTTACAAGAGATCCTGAAAGAAGCACTAAACATAGAAAGAAACAACCAGTACCAGCCACTCCAAAAATGTACCAAATGGTAAAGAGCATCGACACAAGGAAGAAACTGTGTCAACTAATGGGCAAAACAACCAGCTAGCATAAAAATGGCAGGGTCAAATTCACACATAACAATATTAACCTTAAATGTAAATGGACTAAATGCCCCAAACAAAAGACACAGACTGGCAAATTGGATAAAAAGTCAAGACCCATTGGTGTGCTGTATTCAGGAAACCCATCTAATGTGCAAGGAAACACATAGGCTCAAAATAAAGGGATGGAGGAAGATTTACCAAGCAAATGGAGAGCAAAAACAAGCACCAGTTGCAATCCTAGTCTGTGATAAAATGGACTTTAAACCAACAAAGATCAAAAGAGACAAAGAAGGGTATTACATAATGATAAAAGGCTCAATGCAACAAGAAGAGCTAAAGATCCAAAATATATACACACCCAATACAGGAGCACCCAGATACATAAAGCAAGTTCTTAATGACCTACAAAGAGACTTAGACTCCCACACAATAATAGTGGGAGACTGTAACACTCCACTGTCAATACCAGATAGATTAACAAGACAGAAAATTCACAAGGATATTCAGGACTTGAACTCAACTCTGGACCAAGCAAACCTAATCACCTTCAAAATTCTCCACCCCAAATCCGCAGAATAAACATTCTTCTCAGCACCACATCACACCTACTCTAAAATTGACCACATAATTGGAAGTAGATCACTCCTCCACAAATGCAAAAGAATGGAAATCATAACAAACAGTCTCTCAGACCACAGTGCAAACAAATTAGAAATCAGGATTCAGAAACTAACTCAGAACCACACAACTTCATGACACAGAAAAACTGGCTCTTGAATGTTGACTCCATAAACAATGAAATGAAGGCAGAAATAAAGATATTCTTTGAAACCAACGAGAATGAAGACACAACATACCAGAATCTCTGGGACACATTTAAAGCAGTGTCTAGAGGAAAATTTATAGCAATAAATGCCTACATGAGAAGCAAGGAAAAATCTAAAATTGACATAGTATTATCAAAATTGAAAGAGCTAGAGGAACGAGATCTAAAAAACTCAAAAGCTAGCAGAAGACAAGAAATAACTAAGATCAGAGCAGAACTGAAGAGATAGAGACACAAGAAAACATTTAAAGAATTAATAAATCCAGGAGCTGTTTTTTTTGAAAAGATCACCAAAATAGACCACTAGCCAGATTGATAAAAAGGAAAAGAGAGAATAATCAAATAGATGCAATAAAAAACAATAAAGGGGATATCACCACCAATTTCAGAGAAATGCAAACTACAATCAGAGATTACTACAAACAATTCTATGCACATAAACCAGGAAACCTGGAAGAAATGGATAAATTCCTGGATATTTGCAACCTCCCAAGCCTAAACCAGGAATAAGTTGAAACCTGAATAGAACAATAACAAGGGCTGAATTTAAGGCAGCAATTAATAGCCTATCAACCAAAAAAAGCCCAGGTACAGATGGGTTCACAGTCAAATTCTACCAGACATACAAAGAGGAGCTGGTATCAGTCCTTCTGAAACTATTCCAAACAATAAAAAATGAGGGAATCCTCCCCAAATCATTTTAGGAGACCAACATCATCCTGATACCAAAACCCGGCAGAGACTCAACCAAAAAAGAAAACTTCAGGCCAATATCCATGATGAACATAGATACAAAAATATTTAATAAAATACTGGCAAACTGACTGCAATAGCACATCGAAAAGCTTATCCATCATGATCAAGTAGGCTTCATCCCAGGGATGCAAGTTTGGTTCAACATACACAAGTCTGTAAACATAATCCACCACATAAACAGAACTAAAGACAAAAACCTCATGATTATCTCAGTAGATGCAGGGAAGGCCTTCGACAAAATTCAACAGCACTTTGTGCTAAAAACTCTCAATAAACTAGATATTGACGGAATGTATCTCAAAATAATAAAAGCTGTTTACGACAAACCCACCACCATACTGAATGGGCAAAAACTGGAAGTATTCCCTTTGAAATCTGGCACTAGACAAGAATGCCCTCTCTCACCACTCCTATTTAATATAGTATTGGAAGTTCTAGCCAGAGCAATCAGGAAAGAAAAAGAAATAAAGGCTATGCAATTAGGAAAGGAGGGAGTCAAATTGTCTCTATTTGCAGATGACATGACTGTATATTTAGAAGACCTAATCGTCTCAGCCCCAAATCTCCTGAAACTGATAAGCAACGTCAGCAAAGTCTCAGGATACAAAGTCAATGTGCAAAAATCACAAGCATTCCTATATACCAATAACAGAGTTAAAGAGAGCCAAATAAAGAGTGAAGTACCATTCACATTTGCTACAAAGGGAATAAAATACCTAGGAATACAACAAAGGGTGTAAAGGACTTCTTCAAGGAGAACTACAAAGCACTGCTCAAGGAAATAAGGGAGGACACAAACAGATAGAAAATAATTCCATGCTCATGGTTAGGAAGAATCAATATTGTGAAAATGGCCATACTGCCCAAAATAATTTATAGATTCAATGCTATCCTCATCAAGCTATCTATGGTCCTCTTCACAGAACTGGAAAAAACCACCTTAAACTTCATATGAAACCAAAAAAGAGCCTGCATAGCCAAGTCAATTCTAAGCAAAAAGCACAAAACTAGAGTCTGCTACCTGATTTCCAACTATGCTACAAGGGTACATAATCAAAGCAGCATGGTACTGGTACCAAAACAGAGGTATAGACCAATGGAACAGAACAGAGGCCTCGGAGACAATGCCACACATCTACAACCAACTAATCTTTGACAAACTTCACAAAAACAATCAATCAGGAAAGGATTTCCTGTTTAATAAATGGTATTGGGAAAACTGGCTAGCCATGTGCAGAAAGCAGAAACCCATCCCTTCCTGGGACCTTACACTAAAATTAACTCCAGATGGATTAAAGATTTAAACCTAAGGCCTAACACCATAAAAACTCTAGAAGAAAACCTAGGCAAAACCATTCAGGACATGGACACAGGCAACGGCTTCTTGACTAAAACACCAGAAGCATTGGCAACAAAAGCCAAAATAGAGAAATGAGACCTAATTAAACTCCAGAGCTTCTGCATCACAAAAGAAATAATCATTAGAGTGACCCAGCAACCAACAGAATGGAAAAAAGTTTTTGCAATCTAAAAATCTGACAAATGGCTAATATCCAGAATCTACAAAGAACTAAAACAAATTTACAAGAAAAAAACACTCCCATCAAAAAGTGGGCAAAGGATATGAACAGACACTTTTCAAAAGAAGACATATAGGAGGCCAACAAACATATGAAAAAATGCTCATCATCACTGGTCGTTAGAGAAATGCAAATCAAAACTACATTGAGATACCATCTCACGCCAGTTAGAATGGTGATCATTAAAAAATCTGGTGACAACAGATGCTGGAGAGGATGTGGAGAAATAGGAACACTTTTACACTGTTTGTGGGAGTGTAAATTAGTTCAACCATTGTGGAAGACAGTGTGGCGATTCCTCAAGGAACTAGAAAGAGAAATTCCATTTGATCCAGCAATCCCATTATTGGGTATATATCCAAAGGATCATAAATCATTCTATTATAAAGACACATGTACACATTTGTTCACTGCAGCACTGTTTACAATAGTAAAGACGTGGAACCAACCCAAATGCCCATTGACGATAGACTGGACAAGGAAAATGTGGCACATATACACCATGGAATACTATGCCATAAAAAATGATGAGTTTGTATCCTTTGTAGGGACATGAATGAACCTGGAAACCATCATTCTCAGCAAACTGACACAAA